AATAATAATTGGCATTTATTGAAATGAACGAAGTAAGTATTCAGCAACTAGAAACTTAAGTCGTTATTTCCTAATTCCATTGTAAGAAAAATTCCTTAAGTCGAAGAAACAAGATGTAATAAAATAAATATGACGATGTTAACAAAATTTCTCTTTGGTTTCGTAATATTAAACATACATAAAGACGCGTTCTATAGCGATGTATGTATGTGGATATGGTATAGAATAAAATATTAAATTCATTAATTTTTCCAAAGAACTTTGTTCCTCTATTTAACGATCTTATTTCAAATTTCGAAATACCGTTACACGCGAGCGTGCTTTGAAACTTAACCGTACTTTCGATTTCTTGACACATCGAAATTCGTGAAAGAAATTACACAGCATTTTCGAATCTGACGAGACGCGATAAATCAAATACTAATTTTTATCATATTATACGTTATACCACGCGATTAAATACGCTATATCGTACGATGAGATATATGTTTCCATTCGATGAAATATATCGTCTTAGTTGCTCTTGCGCGATTTAATAAAATCGGGGAAAAAATACCTTGAGAAAAGTACGATGTACCTTCAAAACGGAGATAGACGTGAGAATGTTCGTGTTCGCGTAGAAAAACAATTTAAAGCAAGTGACACACTCGACGGTATTCTTGCTCGAGCACCTATGTGTATGTAACCTCCTTGAGAGATTACAAGCCAATGACCTCGTATCTGATAGCGTATTGCGTGACAACGAGTATTCGACGCAAACGAACGTTTCTTCGCGGAAGAAAACGTTCTTTCCTTTTCACCCGCTGTTAAAACGAAACGTTTTACGAAAACTTGACCGTCGATTTTGACTACCGTTAAACTAAACTAAAACTAGCCAGATATATATGTTATATGTACATATAAAGAAGACAATTTTATGGTAATTATTTAGAAAAACGACGCGTTCTCGATTTCGATGATTCTTCTCGAAACTAAGACAGTCTGGCGGTAACGTATATGGAAAGCAGTCGTTCGAAACGTTGATTTCTACGACATATTGAAAAATTATAGAAGACTAAAAAGGAAACACCTAGCAGATCTCACAAAGGATATATCCTAACAAACACGATGATGGTATCCCATTGGGAGTAGCCACCCACGTGATAATCAAACAGCTAAAAAATTCTACCAAATGTCCAAATTGGACAAATTGTGAATGTGAAATATTAAATAAAAAAAAAAAAATATTGAAAAATTATGGAAATGGAGAACGCGTAGCTCGTTAAGAATTACCAACGTTATCACGATTTTCCGTTGCTTCGAGTAACGTGTAAATCATAGACGATATGTATCTCGTACGATGTGCGACAATAAGCATTTGCAAGGAAAAATTGGCGTCTCTTTGATATAAACTTTGAAAAAACTAATACTCGTGGCTTATGAATTTCCCGGAAGCAAGCATTGTCTTGCTACGAAGAGAAACCGATCGTGATTCGAATCCCAACTTCCACTTTTGCTCGCAACGTTGCCAGGTGATACATCATACATACTCGGTTTCACCCACGCGCAAACAAGCTAAGAATTACACAACGCGTAAACGCGACATCGTTGAAAAATCTCTTCTAGGCTTTCTCGTATGAACCGACTATGGTAACGAATCTCGTATAGAATATGTAACGTTACGTTGAGTATCGTAAGTTACGATTCAATTACGAATTGAGACAAAGTACAAAGTACGGAAGGTTGTTAATTTCTCGGCAAGTTTGAGAAAATTCATCGACAGATGAATATTTATCGATTTATCGATTGATATTTCGTGCAATGTGATTAAAACCGGTAAGATGCTCAAACGACGTATGTATCGCGAGGCTGCAGACGACGAAGACGGTAATGTCGTAAATTTCTAGTAGAGCTATTTGGTTCGATGTTCTGTTTCATCGTTAACCGAAAAAATTGCGTTTCTCAAGACTTTCCTTGGAATATCTTAGGCTAATCCATAGACTAAGATTATAAGCTTCAGAATATTCGATGATAATTGAATTAAACGTCGCAGATCGCGAGAAAAAAATAACACGTATGTATAAAGAATCCGAAATTTGAAAATAAGTTTTAAACTTACAACGAGTATGAATAAGTCGCTGACACCGATTTATAAATAGATAAAAATGAAAAACCGAAAGAAAATGTGAAATAAATTAAAGACTTATTAACCGACGTTTAGTCTGAAATAGCGAATATCCATAGATATCGATAAATATCTAACGGGTCGGTTGAAATACGTAAATAAATAGATATAAAACTGCTGCATACATTACCAGTAAATAAGATGTAACAATCAAGACGATTATAAATGGCAATCTTACGTAACTTGTTTTTCGCTTATTAGTCTAATTAGAAACTCGGACTATGGTACGACTCTGTTATCGTTCGACATCGTCGTTCCTTATCCATAACTCGTTCTAGATTCGAAATTCATTTGCACTAATAATTTCGTGTACTTGACGGATACGTTAGAAGGCGCGAATTTTGTGATTTTTGCACTTTTGAACGTAGTATTTCTTAAATAGCGAAAAACAGTCGGACAACGCCTGACAGAACCGTACTGCTTATTTGCTTCTGTTAATTGTGCATGATTATAAAGAGAAAGGACATAACAGAGAACGCGGTTATTACGAATTCTACGACACGCCGTTGCCAGCAACGATCGCGACCTGGTTTGCACACCAAGTCTAATGTTTATTTATCAAGTTTACTGTTCGTCCTCTTTCCGGCCTAGTTATCGTGTCGTGCCACGTTTGCCGGGGAGTTTGAATCTCAAGAATAATCTTCTTTTGTTCACGAAACACTCGTTATTTTAGGCAGCGTTATGCACATTTGTTTCAAGGAAACATCGTCACAGTTAAATTCGACGATACGTCTACTCTGTGTAATCGATTAATATACATAACTCGACGGTTTGAATTAGAAATTTGTACGAAGATCAACATGCTCGTCTGACTCTAATACAAATTTCGTTGAATTTGGTTCAGTTTCCAACAACGATTAATCGGAACGGATAAAAACGACTTCGAGACGAACGAAGGAGATGTGACGTTCTTCGAGTAAACACTGCGCGAACACAGCGAGGATGCTTCTCTTACGTATAAGAGAAAAACGCTGTAGAAACGTATAGATGGACTGTTGAAAGATCGTGGAAACAATGGAAGCCCCGTTAATACGATTCTGCGTTCGTCATGGTAGCTCGAGTACATTGCACCAAATACTCGACGCATCGTTAAATACCAGGAACTTGACACTGATCGTTGCAGAGATTGTACGTATACTTGGCACAAACGTATGGTTGAAAAAAGTTATTTTATTCGACGCCGATTAACTAATTCAAAGTGATGATAAAAGACGTTAATTAATGAAATCGATTCACCGGGTTGGCTACTCCTTTTCCAATCTCTAATATTATTGTAAACATCGTAAAGCTTTCGTTGCCGTTAATCGATTAAATTGCTTCCTGAAATATAGTTTCGGCCGATGTACAACACAAGCATCGTCCTGAAAGTAATGCCCGTTTTGAAATAACAACGACACGAGCGTAGTTTTATTATATATAATTAAATATTTTCCAATACAACTATCACCCGTATTCCAACACTTGTCGCAACGTGAGACGAATTTCTGTCTGTAAACCTAACCGGTTAGGAGATCATACCTTCGACAAACACTTGTTTTCCCGCCATGCCTTATTCGTCCAGAAACTCTTTCAATTTTGCAAAAACGATGGTAATCTGGATCGTTGGATCGTTTGATACGCTGATCATCACTCGTAATGAATTCTCAGACACGTTTCTTCGGGTCTTTCGTAATGACAGACGGACGATCGGAACACTTACGATCACATACAGTTTCTCCACACGTATTGAACTCCAGCACCCATCGTCTTACGATTAATTCGAATATAACTTTATTACAGTAAACTGCCGTAATTCGATGATTCAAAAGGTGAATTGCTTTTGAACGAGCATATTAAGTATTAGGAAAACGTAAATCGTTATCGGCGGGATTTTCAATTTGCATGGCCGTTTTAAACGTATCGAACTACGACGACTCTAGTTAAGTACTTATAGATGAAATTTTTATTTTAAATAGGAATATCGTGCGACCTTCTGCAAGCACGTTTCATCGTTTTATACGGCTTTTATGGGTAAACGGGTATCGCTTTCCGAGCGATCGTCGTAAGTACGTAGCTATGAGTTACGAAGGAAAAGATTGAAAGAACAAAGAAAATTCGTGTGGTCCTTCCTTAAACAAAGATCGAGAGTTACGAGTCGTAGAAAATCACAGTTAATGGAAATGCTTTTGTATTAATAATCGTACATGTACGATTCCTATTCAATTATCTGCTACCGTCGTGAAGTGTACATTTGCTTGGTAAGTAGGATCTTTTTATTAATGGCCATTGCCGTGTGTACGGAACACCTGCGATGACTAACAGTACCACGCAGCTAACTATAATAAGACGCGACTATACTCAAACACTTACGTTATTACGCAGTAACATCGATCTTGCTCTTTACGAGTAGGTACTCGTACGTACAAACGCGGCTAGTCTGACTGCAGTGGAATCGAACTAACCGTTGCTCCACGCAAACAGATATCGATGCGTAAAAGTGTAGAATTTTTAATAAAAAATATCATTTGCCGATGGTATTTCAATCATCGAGTTGTTATTCGCGTTGAATTCACCCTTTCGAGAAATCGACGATACCAATTCTCGATCAGTTCGTCTCTTTTACACCGTTTTACAATCGTTTACCTTTACACGATTGTACCTCGAACAAATGAAATAGAAAGTAGGAACAAGGAAGCAAGAATAGAACGAACGCGCGTCATACGACGAGATACGTACGATAAAATACCAAGAGAATAGGAAATATGAAAATTAAATCGCAAATTGCAAAGTTCGTTACAGGTTTCTTAATTCGTTGACGCGATAGAAAAGAAAGGTTGACGATCACTTTCCAATTTACCTGATTTTCCGATTGGCGGTTGACCAAGTCTGCTGAACCACCTGAGAAACCTTCTAGCGGTGGTGGCAGCAGGTGGTCTACATCCTTCGAGTATAACAACTCCATTATTGTTGTTGTTGTTGGAAGTTGGACGTTCGGACGGAGATGCTCTGCTGTACGGCGACATCCAAGCTGTGGTAGTGCTTTGGATAGTGGTACCTTTGACGGTAGTAATGGAACTGGTTATTTTAGCCGGGTGCAGCACCCAATCTTCCGAAGCGACGGGCATTTGTCTCGTCCTCTCGTCGGACGAGTGAAAGACAAACCCGCAGAATGGAAAAGTCATTCAAGGTTTTACACCCTTCCGCGAAGATAAGATTATCTAGGAAACTCGAGCAAATTTCCTATATGGTTTCGGAGGACGTGGCATAGGCGTATCGACGATAAGTTCGGCAACGTACGATCACGAAATTCAATGTACACCTTTTGTTTTTCCTAGTTTTTTCTTACTTGTGTAATTCATAACCAACCGGCCGATTCCGATGTTCGACGTTTCCTTTAAACTCGGCCAGCGAGTTTTTTCTCACGAGTCGCCAGCAAGAGAACGTACAAGTATAGGTACATATTTTCTTGTGCGCGCGCGTACCTCAAGTTTCGCGGTCGTCGCTTCCAACTTTATCTATGTTGCTCGGATGTTTGCTTTAGCAGCTAACAGTCACGTGCTTCCCCTTAACTTGTTGCACATACCTCGACGACTCTTTCTGTATTCTAAATGCGCCCTTGCTCGTCCGATCGATCCAAAGTCATGGCTGTTCCTTCGCTGCTGATCCTCTCTGCTGTTCGATGCAGTCGATTACCGTCGAACGACAAACGGAATTCGTATCTTCGTCGGATTTTCTTATTTTTTCTGCAAACGTAATACGGAGAATACGGAGGAATAGAAAGGTCGAATCACATCGGATTAACTAGTTCTTTGTAAATTCTCCCGACGTCTCCCGCGTAATATGTACGTTTTCTTAAAATTCTTATCAAAACGAACGACCTATTGGATTTATTTGGTACGTTATAAGGTACTTAGTTTTCATTGCAGCCTTTCTGAGTAATACTATGCTACCGCGGAATGGTAGTATCCAGGTAAATTATGCGGATAGGAAAAATAGTCTACGCGTATTTAAAATCGAACGCTCGATCGATCGAAGCAACGACTTTCGTTCCCGATCCGGCAACGCTTTCCGAAGATCCTTGATCTTCCGCGCATCGGAAAGATAGAAGAAATACACGGCACGAATTTGTCCTTAAGTAGGATTATTGCACTTTGTCCTACTTCGCTCGATCCAATCTAGTCTCGATTAACGGTTTCTCGCGGACCTACGTAAGAATCTTTTCGTAGACGTTTGCAGGAATCGAACGAACAAAGTTTCCTACGATCGCGGCATCACAGTACGTTCCATGTATGTATAGGGAAAAGGATGGCATTCCTGAATATTTCTTGTCCCTCCGAAGCGTAAACTCTTGGAGACTACACTGTCGGCAAAGCGTTTGGAGGTCGAGGTTGATCTCTCGCACTGGCGAACGTTGCTCGGTCGGTCACGTAGTTGCCGCATTATCCGTGTTTCGTTGCGCTATCATCAGCGACTACGTATTACCGTCGTTCTCGTCTTCGACGTCGTCGTCGACGCATACGGTTCATTCGATTCCGATAAGCTAACTTGCCGCCACTCCTATTCTTTCCTTCTTTACTCGCAACGAGCGATATTCCTTTCGATTCCCTCCCAGAGCTATGTACCGGACGTAGAGCAAGAGAAACGAGTACACGAATAAACGAATGTCGTTCGATCGGTAGGATGCGTTCCGACAAAGACTTACGCGATACGCGCACTAATTTTCACTTGGAAATGCACAGGCGATCGAAGTTTGCGCACAACAGGTAGAATCGGATCGTCGATCTTGTCGAGTCACGTCCGAAAAACACCATTTAACCCATATTGAGAGACGTCGTGAACGTAGGCCTCGATTGCACAATTTCATCCGGCTGGCGAGAAATTCAGCGGCGATAAGGAGGAAAACGTAGAAGCGCGGAGAGAACGTTGCCAACGAGTCGATTCTAACCACACGTCTCTCGACCTGACGACAGACTCGAACTGCCACCGACCAACCGACCGACCACGACCACCACTTCTCTCGACGCTGTCTCTGCCAACTTGCTTCTTCGTGCTCCTCTACCACTCCTCTTGTCTACTGCCGGCCTTCTTCCTTCTACCTCCCTCTTATTTTCTTTCTCTTTTCGATCCGCGTGCGTGTTCGTGTATCCATGCACGCGTATACCTTCACCACGGCATAACACCGCGACACCCGCGTTACCACTACCGGTACACTGTCGCTAACTGCCCCACCACACCGCTACTTTTTCTTCAGTCAACTCCCTCTCGCACTCGCTACTTCGTAACTGTTTCTTTATCTTCTCTTTCCTTCCTTCTTCGTTACTCGCGTAGCTTCGTTACTCTTACTGCACTTTTGTTAACGAATACAGTTCAGAAATGTCGAAACGAATACAGCTGGAGGTATATTTGCGACAACTTGCCGCTCTCTGGCACAGCAACACGTTGTCGTCGTGTTCCACCGTGCTGACGTTTACGTTGAACGTGTTTCCACATTGCGATACGATGGATGTGACGCGCGTGTGTACAGAAGTACTTACGAGCGTGGACGCGATTCGTAGGCTAGCCACGCACGAGTGGACGAACGAAGGTAGACGCGAAAAACATGGAAAATTGGAGTAAAAGGGATAAGCGCGTGATACTCAGCTGATGCAACGCGACTGTCAGACAGAACCACGATCTTCTGTAAGTGTGTAATCTCCATAACGTGACTTTTCGCCGCTCACCCTCAAACTGTTCTCCCTTGTTTACTTGTAGATACATATATATATATATATATATATATATATATTGCCGCGTAATCGTCCACAACGCGTCAGAAAATCTATCATACGTGTTTATTCTTCATCGTTCTTTTTGTTTAACTCATACTCGCCAGCGTACATATTCCACGTATTCTAACGAGCTTATTAAAAGCTTATACCAAATAGCGAAATGTCCAGAGTTCAGGTATTGGAAAATTATCGGACTTGCGGCAAAGATAGCGCTAATGATTTTCAAGATTGGTGCGTTACGCGTTAAAAACCTTTATTTAAAGGCAACTTGGCGAATAATTAGTCAGAAAAAATGCAATGTAACCACCTACGCGATTTCATAAGGGTCTTCCAACGATTTCTTTTTGCGTTCAACAGAACATCGTTTACGTTGAAAATGGAAAGTCGTCTTTATTATTCGGGCGAAGAGCGTAACCGCCCGTTCTAGAGACGAAGTAAAAACAGAAAGCGTGTCCGATCGAGTTCACTGAGACTTCACGCCTCTTTCCTTTCCTCTTTATTCGTTTATATTTTTCGTAAGTTGCAAAAGCTCTTGAACACAATGGGCACAGATATAATTTAAGAGGGGAACTAATTATTTTGATTCTATTTAATTCGTCGCTTCTGCCGAAACCCTAATCGAGAAATATACACAAAAGAGGAGTAAGAAATATTACATAATACACGTTGATTAATGACATTCGAAGCACCTATCAATAGCAATGTAAATGCGTCAAATTTTTCAAATACGTTCGATATCGTAAAACGCTGTACAAACATTCAAAGTAAAAAACCAAAACATTGTATCGTCAAATCGAAGATGATTAAAAACATTAACTCTCTTCTGTTTTTCAAGATTATAACGAATGAGTCGACGTTGTTTAATTTATATTATCATTACGCAGAATTTTTATTTAGATTTTGTATTGCCAGTGACTGAAAATGTGGTCGAATATGTACCAGTAAAAATATGCAATTATCGTTAAATCGATAGGCCGATCGTGTATGTGTGTATTTCGAGATCGGTCATGGAGATTGCTTCGCGCTAATGAAATTAATTTATACGATTTTCTACCAAAAATCCTGAGAGATGTCGATAAACATCTATTATCGAATATGCATTTACGTTTAAAGAGAGAGGAAAATCTAGATGTCTAGCGCGGATGTTGATTGGCATCGTCAGTCATGAGGTGCGACTGACACAGAGATCCCAGTAATAAATCGTAAAACGGTTGCCGGTACGGGTACGGTATACTCTGCATAAAAATAGAGGCGCCACCGAGGATTCCGTAATGAGCGTAAGTTATGCAACGCAATAAGGACAGTGCCCTCCGTATGCGGATAACTTCGGGAATTTCCGTTTCTGTACGTACGAGTAAACTTCATAAAGAGGGCGATACTTGTTCTAACGCGTCGCTGATGTATTTTGTTTAGTCTTGTAGTTTCTTTCAAGAACTTTACCTCGTCCGAATTCTACTGCTCTAACTTGAAATCTTTCCACTTCCCTTTGATCGCTCGACAATGGCGAACTTTGAGCAAAGGCGAGGAAAGGAATTATGTATATACACCGATGAGATCGTCGAACCGTCCGATCCTCCGTATCGTTTGTTCTCGTGGAGAAAGGTAACATATTGATATTCTGGATTATTTGTCACAGACGAGATACGTAAAAAATTCATTTCATTGCGTAAGTGTCCCTACCTTTGTAAGCAGAAATGTCGCAGCGTAATATGTTGCGAAGATCATAGGGTACATGACTTCTATTCGATTCCCGTGTATCGTGTAACTTGGAAAAATATCTTCGTTAATACTGGTGATCATTAAAATACACACTTGACCTAGAATACCCATAGGTGAAACGAATACAAAGGCGAGGTTACAGAAGGTTCGAACGACGAGGAGGAAAAACCAGGATGACAAAGAGAAAGACGTTGTTGGCAACGGTTCAAAGCGCAGTTCGACCTAACTAAAATACTGCAGTGCTCCACTACGTGTCGCATACCAGGTGAAAATATTGCGGAACTACTAGCTTACGAATTAAGAATATATATCGTGTAATCGACGGTATAACTCGATTATCGTCGTACTTTCTCCGCCAAATCGAATACCAACTCACAAATTTGTCAATTACTCGCAACTGTTAGGGATTTACCGAACTAGTCAGATAACGATCGCCAATTCAAATTTCGGCGACTTAAAAATTTATATCGTCAGATCCGATCGTATCATACCGTAAAAATAAAGACTTCGAGATTTGAAAATATTTGTAAATAGAATATAACTATATCGTCTACTTTAAAATTTTGAAAATGACGTAGTTACAACAATGCATAGACAGAGGTGGGTAATTTTTATGAAAAAGCTGAATCGGTAGAGCGATCATGTAAATACATCCAAGCAGGATTTCCACTCTAATAACGTTAACACAGTAGTTGGAAGGTGCGCGTAGTAACAACAGTAGTAGGAATCAACAATGCTAGACTACGTCAAAGATTTTAGTAATTTTCGTGCAACCAGGCACTACGCGAACAAGCGTATCTTGTTGCTCGCCATTCGAAGGTACCTACGTTACCAACCATTAACCAGCGACAGCGAACGATCGTGCCCGACGGATAATGCTTTTCAAATCTGGTATTTACGACCGAAACATTTCTTTCGTCCTTTATTTTATCTCGCAAAAATTGGAAAATATGATATTCCGTTGGAACGCAAAATTTTAAAGATAAAAAATAATATAACACATGTATAGAAAAGCATGATAGGGAGATCTTTTCCCGCTTCCCGTCCTTAAATTCTGTGGATTGTCGAAGAAAATCATGATTCGTCTACGACGGAAACTCCTAGCAATGAAATCATTTCCGCGTATTATAGGGAAGATTTACGGGAAGCTACACACTTTCCTTTTTTACCATAGAAATTGTGAAAACAATAGTCCTTACACAACAAATTATACGTCGCACGGCACAAAGAATACTTGTTTCTTGTGATTGTTTTCTCCCTGTCTTCTTTTGAAAGAATACATTACAAGATAAATTTTACAATAGAGAATAAACACGTATACATACATATAATTAAATATAGAAAATATATATGCCCGGAATTAAATGGAGTAAAATCTGCTTACAGTAAAGAAAAATAGCGACAAAGAGATAAAGTTGGCATCGTCGTATAATGGATTTTCTTTGTCCTTCTAAAGAAGCGTAAACGTAAATATACATACATATTGATAAATTTATCTCGACGTTACGAATTTCAACTTTCTTGTATTTAAGCAATCGATATGAACGAAAAGATTTAACCGAAATACCCTTTTCCTTAATGATATTTGCTTTAACGAAACAGATGCTATGTTAGCGACAGTGTCGATCTGTCGCGAAGATGCTGAAAAAGTATTTTCGTTTAAAGAAAGGAATTATTACGATGATAAAGTAGTAGAAGCGTGTAAATAAATAAAAATTCGTTCCTAGGTTTTATTGGACCGAGTGCGTCCAACTTTCTCACATATCGTATGACCAGCTTGAATTTCGCTCGAAAGATCGCTCGCCCGGATTCGTAAAACAATAGAAATAGAATTTGAAATTGAAACCTGTAGTTAGTAAATCAATTTAGATAATAAATGTCTTTCGTCGCATAAAATTCACATGGCGCGTACGTATATACCTACATATATGCCTGGAAATTCTCATGCGTCTGTTCGTGTCAGTTTAGAAACGGCTCTACCAATGTATAGAACACAGCGATCGATGAACGAACCAAGCAGAATGGTCACGCGATACGAAGCAATTTTCAACTGGTTTGTCGAAAAAATGTAGTAGTCTGGTAACGATCATTTCGTTAGTCGTGGTTGTAGTGTTCGGTTAAATAACGATAAGAATAATTTACTTATCTACCTACCTTTTCTTCTAGAACACAAGATAAGAAATAGAAAAAAACGCTATAATAGTTGTACCTTTGATTTAGTTATCCTCGTACGTACTACCGTTTATCGTATTGAACGGTATACGTACGTGTGTGTACAGAAAAAGATCATAACGAATTACTTTTTTAAATCTTTATAGCTTATCTTAATACTTTATAATCGCTACAATTTTATAATCTCTACCTCTACGTTTTACAATGTCGATATCAGACGAAAAAGATAATAGCCAATGAGAATGCAAACCGTTTGGAATTATAAAAACATCGTAGAAAACATTTTAACACGACATGGAAATCGTTTAGGCGATTGCTGTAAAAAAATTCACCGATGAATCATTCTGTTCTGTTCTGACTATTCTGCGTAGAACTTGTATCCATTGTACCGCACCGTCCGTTCGACGTAAAGTAGCACACACAATAGCCACAAAGATTACCTTTACGCTCATCTACATATGTACGTAGCTGTTTTCGTAAGAACCACGAATCCTA